GTTGCAGCCCCGCCCCCCCCCCCCCCCCATGTAGTGAATTCCAAACTCTACTTTCAATAAAAGCGCCTCCGAGACCCTCACGGTTCCCTTCATCGGCAATTCAGCCCCGTGACACTGAATATATCGTCCCCCTCCCCCATGCAAGCTTGAATAAGAAAGCAGCAATTCACGACGGGGGCTTTCCTTATTTTAGGCTGCAAGTAATTTTTTTTTTAAAAAACCCCACAACCATGTTTCAAAGGTTCAACGGCCTCAGGGGGCCCAGACGCCTAGTTTGGGGCACAACCGCGTATGAGTCTCTTCTTCCGCCCCCAAGCAATTCAAGTTGCACGGCGAGAAAGAGACTTTGCAGCCTGTCCAAATCACGGACCTTTCCCCAATTCTTGTAATTAATTCTGGAGCGATTAAAAAGTAATAGAGCCACCCCCTTCCCAAGATACACCCTTATTCCGTTATCTTTTGGATTCTTCTGATGTGTTAAAAGACTTCACCCATGTGCTTTGGAGCACCTCTGTGGACCGTGACCTCTGCGAGCGAGCTTGAAGAAACTGAATCCACTCCCGGACCCACTGCCCGCACATTTCCCATGCTCCCTCGGAACTGCAGCACATGCACTGCCCCCAGTCTCGGCTACCCTGTCTACCGCCCAACCGTGCTGAATAAGGACACCGCTGCCCAAGGTTGGCGCGGCCCCTGTGTGCGGTAGTCAGAACCCTCGGCTGCCGGTTCTTCTGACACCAGCCGATGCCTCGCTGGTCTTGCTTTAAGCTACCTTGGAATCTGGTGTGTGTGTGTAGGGGGGAAAGCACTATATCTGCAAGGATGAGTTTTCCCCAGACAGGTCTGGTACTCGGCTGAAGCAAGAAGGACCACTGTTGCCCCCCCCCCCCGAGACAAAATCAGACCAAAGCCGGCCCAGAGGCAGAACAAGCCTCATGAGGACAGCCTTAACAAACAGGACAGATTTTTTTGACACCCCCCTCCATCCCCAAAAAACACACCAAATTTGGCACACGAGTCTCACATTACTGAACGTCAAAGTCCTAGCAGAGCAGTTTTTTTATTTTTGGAGGAGAAAAGTTCTTTGTCTGATGAGAATAGAGCGAATCCCGCTTTAAAAAAACCTCAAACACGCAGCATGGAAGGTCGGAGCCACGGGCTGACAGGTCGGTTTACACCCTGTTGTAAGTAAGATGCTTGCTGGGGAGGGCGGGCGGGCGAGCGAAGGCGGCGGTCCGACGTTGCGGGATCGTTACACGGAGCTCGGCCTCTCAACATGAACATTCACGGCCCCCTCTCCCAAAAACCAGTAAAGACAACTTGCGCACTTGCTGTAGCCTCCTTGCAGTGGTATCGGGAACACATTTGCACACACGCTGTATCCTCCTTGCAATCTGCAAAGGGACAATTTGCACACTGGCTGCAGCCTCCTTGCAATTTGCAAGGGACAATTTGCGCGACTTGCTGCAGCCTCCTTGCAGTGGTATTGGGAAAACGGGCCATAAAAAAAAAAGGAGTTCTCTCTCTCTCTCTGGATGTCTCTCAAGTTTTCCCTCCTGAGCTCTCTGACTATGCATGAGCAGAATTCCCACTTCAACCGAGCACTTCCAGCACAGCGGCTCGGGCCGTCGGCAGCCGGCTCGCATTCCCCGGGAGATCTTGCCTTGTTGGCCGAGGGGAATGGGCGTTTCGCCAGGCCCTCCTCCTCCTCTGGCCGGTCGCTTCCTCACAGAGGCCGCGGCTCACAGCCTCGAGCCGTGCGAAGGCTGGGTCGCAAAGCCGGTGCCCTCCTCGGGCCGGAGCCTGACGAAAAGGACCTTGGTGACGTGTTCTCCTCTGCTCGAAAGTGAAATCCGGCTAAGGACGGCTGACTCCTTCCACCCAAACGGAGGGCCGGGGGACGGAGCGCGCTCCGTGATCGACGGGACTAGCCGCGCAGTTCAGGAAAAAGTGCACTGGGGGGAAAAAGGGGGAGCTTTTCAAAGCTGGGTGAAAAGTTTGCAGAGTTCGCCACGCGGCCGGAAGGAGCAGTCCGGCCCCAACATCCACATTCCCGCAGCAGTCTGGTTTCTTGGCCAGGGGGAGAGCCCGGAGCCTCCGGTGCCGACAGGGACGCAGCCGTTGTCTTTGCGGAGGACGCTCCCTCTCCCTGGCCCCTCTGGCCTTCTCTTGTGATCGCCGCCGTTGCCGTCACCGGAATTCGTAAATGGGCACGCTGTACTCGGGGACGTGGGTCAGGTTCAGGGATTGGTACCTGAGGGGTGGGAAAAGCCAAAGAAACATTTCAAGGGAGAGAGTCTGTCCCCTATTTCGCTTAACGTTGGACCGCTGACTTTATTTAAAACACCGATCAGCGGCCTTTGTCCCTTACTGAGCTCAAAGTGGCCAACGTTATAAATAAAACACATACAAAGCACATTAGAAGAGAAGAAAAGAAGGTCACACCAGCAGCTGTGTGTGGAAGAAGAATAGATTGGTCTTATACCTCGCCCTTCACTACCTGAAGGTGTCTCAGAGTGGCTTACAATCTCCTTCCCCTTCCCCTCCCCACAACAGACACCCTGTGAGGGAGGTGGGGCTGAGAGAGCTCTCCTGAGGACTGCTCTTGAAAGAGCAGCTCTGAGAGAACTTGTGACTGACCCCAGGTCATCCAGCAGCTGCAAGTGGAGGAGTGGAGAATCAAACCCGGTTCTCCCAGATTAGAGTCCGCGCACTTAACCACGACACCAAACTGGCTCTCTGAAGCCAAGAAGGTTGCTGTGAGTGAAAACTCTCTGAATAACATCCTGACCGTTTTTTGCTTCTTTCCTGGAAAGACCATCTGTTAGTAATATCCATTTGCTTTTGTATCCTAATGCCCAACTGGCTCTCAAAGGAGTCCCAAAGCAGCTTACGATCTCCTTTCCCTTCCCCTCCCCACAACAGACACCATGTGCTGTGAGCAATGCTCCCTCTAAGCCATGGAGGAGTCTTGTGAGCAAAAATTCTACTTTGTGAGCTACTGGCATTAAACGTGTGAGCAACTGCATCAATCAGTTGGCTCTGGAGCCCTCCTTCCTGAGCTAAGACAAAAATGTGTGAGCTGGAGGGTAAAAAACTGTGAGCTAGCTCACACTAACTCAGCTTAGAGGGAACAGTGGCTGTGAGGTAGGTGGGGCTGAGGGAGCTCTCTCGAAAACTGCCCTTGAGAGAACAGCTCCGAAAGAACTGGTGACTGACTCAAGGTCACACCAGCAGCCGCATGTGGAGGAGTGGGGAATCAAACCCAGTTCTCCCAGATTCGAGACCGCAGTCCTAAGCACTACACCAAACTGAATACCATAAAGCCAGAATTTAAGATCACAATTCAGGATTGCTTTACTCAAACGCAAGCCCAAATAAAACCATCTTCAGCTGCCTCCAGATCAATGTTCCCTCTAAGCTGTGGACTCTTGTGAGCAGAAATTCTACTTTGTGAGCTGCTGGCATTAGAGTTGTGAGCAAGCAATTTAGCCACTGCATAAATTAGTTTGCTCTGGAGCCCTCCTCCCTGGGCTAAGACAAAAATGTGTGAGCCGGAGGCTAAAAAACTGTGAGCTAGCTCACACTAACTCAGCTTAGAGGGAACACTGTTCCAGATTCCAGCCTCAACCCCCAGCCTTCTCTCTCCCCCTCCCTCTCTGAAGCCAAGAAGTTCAGTTCTATGGCCTTTTTCTTTTTCACGTCCGGGCAGATTTGCATGCACCAGTCGAGACAGAAACGCAGATCGTGTGCTTGGCCTTGGCCAAGAGCGGGAAGAGCTGTGATCCGGCTGGCGAGAGGAAGGTCGAAAAGATCGGTCAAGAGGAGCCAGACGGCTCACCTGCGGAGCGAGAAGAGAAACCTTCCTGCCGGGGGGAGACCGAAGTTGGAAATTCTTACCATTCTGAACTCCTGTGATAATAATAGCCCTCTATAGACGCAGCGGATTTCTGGAAGCAGATGTAATAAAATCCGGCGAAGGAAGCCCCGCTGATGTCTTTGATGGTGTGATCGGGAACCAGGAACTGCTCCTGTGCACACGGGGAAAAAAATTAGAAACAGGGTGCATACAAATACCTGTAATGTCTTAAATGAAGGATGATAAAAAGATATGGGCAGTTTGAACCTTCTAGAGATGAACTGTAGGCAAAAATATGATTAATGGGCTCCTTATCTAGAGGTTCTGTAACGATTCAATTTTTTCTTCTTTTTAATTTGCTTTTCTTGGCAGTGTTAGTGAGGGAGATGAGATTGCGGGGAAAATAAAAACTACTATGTTTAGGCCTGTAAGCTAACCGTGTCAAAATGTGAAAGAAGATTCAAAGGGACTAGAATGCTAACATGGAAGAAATATATACTTCAACTAGAAATGTCAATTACTCAGATATATCTGTTCCTTTCCATCTTTATTTTTTCTCTTTTATAGAAAATAGATAAATATTAGTATATTAGTATATTGTAGATAAAATGAAATATAGCAGATATGATATAGCTAAATTAGGTATCGGGAATAGAATTTTGGTTTAAAGGTATATGTGATGAAATATAACCAAAGGAAGGGGGGAAATGGTAATCTGTATATAAAAATGTTGTGAGCGAGATCTTTGGCTAGATATGTTAAAATGCACTGCTCTTTCTTTTTTTTTCTTTTCTGTAATATCGATTTTAAAAAAAAGAAAAAAGAAAAAAATAGAAATAGGGTGCATAAGAATGTACGGCGCTAAATGAGCACAGAGTGTGTGCGCGAGGTGGCCTCGTGCGCCCCCTCGGAGGAAGGGGTGTCTGGTAGTACCGCGAGCCTCTCTGGGTCAAAGAGGACAGGAGAGTGACGGTGCTCTAACAGAGGCTCTCTTGAAGTCTTTGAAGGGCCGTCCCTAAGAGGAGGGTGGAGAGCCATGCTCCCTCTAAGCCGTGGAGTCTTGTGAGCAAAAATTCTACTTTGTGAGCTGCCGGCATTAAAGCTGGGAGCGAGCGATTTGGCTGCTGCATAAATGAGTTTGCTCTGGAGCCACATCCTTCCTGAGCGGAGACAAAAATGTGTGAGCCGGAGGCTAAAAAACGGTGAGCTAGCTCACACTAACTCAGCTCAGAGGGAACACTGGTGGAGAGGTGTTCCTGTGGGCAGCAGAGGAGAGGACTCGCAAGGATGGGTTTAAATTAAGGGCGGGAAGGTACCGGCTGGATCTTCGAAAATACTTTTTGACAGTCAAGTTGTGCAACAGTGGAATCGGCTGCCTGGGGAGGTGGTGAGCTCCCCCCCTCAATGGCAGTCTTGAAGCAGCCCTTACCTTCCACCTCATGAAGACAAAGTCATCGTTCTTCAGATCCTCATAATCGAAGTCATCCGAGTTAAATGTTTTTGCATACTGGTAAAAGGCCGGGAACTTTCCCTGGAAGAAGAAGAAGAAGAAGAGTTTGGATTTATACCTCGCCCTTCACGTGGATTCTCAGAGCGGCTTACAATCTCCGGGATTCCCCTTCCCCTCCCCACAACAGACACCCTGTGAGGTAGGTGGGGCTGAGAGAGCTCTTTCCAGAAATGTCCTTGAGAGAACAGCTGGCTTTCTCTACTGTGGCTCCTGCCTTGCGGAACGGCCTGCTCGAGGGGGTCAGGAATAGAGATGTAAAATCCCTGGAAATTTTGACGCTCGGAAAAAAACTGGAAATTTTCAGGAAAATTGAAAAAAGAATGCTACATTAGCACTTCTTTTTTTCGTTTCCAGACTGAAAGTCCTTCTGTTACTTTAGGAGCATAAAATATGACTATGGACATTTTTACTTGGCATGAAATCATCACAACTAGCATATTAAAAATAGAGTGTATCCAAACAGTTATTACAAACAGAATACCCACCCACATGCAAAAACAAAACTGAAACCTTTTTCTTTTCTTGTGACAACAGCGCCTCCTAAAGGAAGAAATGCATCTTGTTCTTGCATTGGAGAGTTCAGTTTGTAACCTAGGACTTGCTTGTCCTCAGTGCACAGAAATTAGATCGATCTGATACCATACATATTTTTTAGAAATGATTTGGAAAATATTTGAACACCTTGTCCTAAAATATTTTATTCATCATGTTAAAATAAAACGTTCCAATTTTTTTCTTTTCTTTTTTCAATTTTTCAGAAAAAAAACAAAAAAGGCTTCAGGAAAAAAACGGGGGGGGGGGGGGAAGGGTTTTTTCCAAATTTTTCCGTTTTTTTTCCGGGCCTTCACATCTCTAGTCAGGAAAACTCCTGCCTCTCTTGTATTTCCAGAAACTAGGCAAAAGGGACTATTCAAGGGGGCTTTTCTGCGCAGGTCATAAGTCTCACGCTACGCGAAACTGGTTTTACAAACTCGCTCGGATGACCGATTGGGACTTCTGACCAATAACTTCTGCGTTTAGCTTACTGTAAGCAGGGTCCTTGTATGTCAGTCTAGTACCACTTCATGTGTTGTATTAATACTTACGCTACGCTTCCGCTATTTCTGGTGGTCTCCCCATCCCCGGAGCCAGTGGAAAACGATAGTCCCGGAAAAGGGGGAACGACGACTCACCCAATGCTTACGGTCCACATCTTCGTCCGCGTCCCACTTCCGCGTTAAGAACGGGTGCTTTTTACTGATTATTTCCCCTTCAAAGAACGTTGTGAGGGTTGGATATTCCTGCGGGCGAGCAAAGTTGGAACGTCACTGTGATGAACTACGAAAAAACCCTCTGAGGGGAAGAAGTAGCAGAGGCTCACTCTGATTGGTGAGTCGCCTCCATGACAATGGAATGCATCCAGCAGGGGGCTGGGGGGGGGGGGAATGAGAGCTGACAGTTGGAAGGGTGGTTGGAGAGAGTCTTTTTGGGGAGAGAGGGAATCTAATGGAGGAGGGGGCCTTTTGAGTGGCTGCCTTTGGAGAGAAAACGCTCAGTCTGGGAGACAGTGGCAGGATGTCCCAGAGAGAGGGGCAGAGCCTGAAGGGATTGGCCAGAGTAACAGGTCAGACGCAGGTTGAAAAAAGAGACAGACATCCACTCACACAGGGACTAGTTGGGATTCAGAGCCTAATCAGGGGAACCCTGGGTTTATGGGTGGTATGAATTCACTTGTATCACAACTGCCTGCTTATTGTAAGGAACCTTCTGATAGGGTTTGTAATTTTTATTAGTTCTTCCTGAGTTTGGGAAAGCCTAAACACTGTTTATAGTGTTTGTAGCGGGCACTGGTTGGTTGCCAACTGTTTGCTGTCATAAAACCTTTTCCCCATTCCCCTGCCTTTCAGTAGAATAAATCTTTCCTCTTATTTCATTTTTAAACCCCGCTATTGGTGCCATTCTTTCATACCTGTCGGGAAAGGTTTGGGCTCCTGAGGCTCCCTTTACCTGAGAAGGGTTCCTCACAGTCACAAACACCGAAAATCCTGGCCAGGTAAAAGATGCCCTCTTTTGCACCCAGAGCCGCATACTCGATCCTGGGGCTCTGGGAGCCAGCTGACAGACATCCTTACAGTTCAATGACTTTTTTGAATTTATCATTACAAATTGTTTTTGGAAAAACTCCACCTGTGCATTTATTCCTGTGATTAACTTTACCTGTGAATTTCTACCTATCCATTGTGTCATAGGGAGATTTGTTCTGAGCACTATAGATGTCATATCTCTATAATTTACTATATCATTGATTTCTGGGCACATGCATTTTTTTCCTTGTCTACATACATTGCCGTGCCACTGCCGCTCATACCGTTTCTTTGGTACCCAGAGCAGCACGCTCGGTCCCCCGCGCCACGGGTCCCCGCACTTACCTCCGTAAGGCCTTTAATCTTCAAGTAGCCGCAGAGATAAGAGTTCTCCATGTCCACATGCTGGGGGGGAGGAAAAAAGGAAAGTCCTTTCGTGACCACACATGCCCTGGACGACTATCCCTAAAGGCCAGAGAGTGCGATGCTAAAAAATGAGGTTACCCTACCCACGTACGGCACACAAACGCCTTGAAGGAAGAATGGGACAGAAAATTAAGGTAGAAACAAACGAAAGATGGAGACGTTGGTGACCGTCAGGAGCCCGCCATCTTGTTTCCAACCGTGGCTAGCCAGAGGTCTCCTTGCGAGCAGGAGATGCAGCCGCAATCCCTACACCGCTTGCCCCGACTGCAAAGAGATGGTTCACTAAGGCCCCCGTCAAGCTACCGTGACAGAATAAGCTGCTGATAAAACCTTCTTGTGGATATATCTGTTCAGCTGCAAGGTCTTGGCTGGCGACACAGCTCCAAAGCACACGCCAAGCCCTTTAAGCAGAGCACGCCGTTCTGATCCCTCCGGCGCGGAGAAACTCTCCGGAGCCAAAGCACCAGGAAGCCTGCCAGCTAAATTAAGGTGACGCTGGGAAAAATATTAGTGGCTGCTAAGCAACGGCGGGCTGCTCTTTTAACATGCCGGCGCTGTGCCAGTCGGAGACCGTCCGCGTGCGTTTTACATTGTAGTAGAGGCGACGGGACACGGCGGCCAGTGGCTGCTAGTCGCATGCGACATTCTGGGCAGGGGAGATTTCCAGACCAGCCCTGATACACGGCAGCATCGTGTGCGCCTTGCTCCTTGCAAATTCCGAGTGACTTGATTCCGAGTGACTTGGAATTTTGTTTTCCAAAAGGGCAAGGATGGGGCAGGGGTTTCTGAAGCGGCTGCCGCCAAGCTGGGAAACTGACTCACTCGCCTGCCATGCAAGCAGCCACTCTGACCACATGCTTGCTGCTCGCCCAGAAGCGTCACCAAAACCCGATGGAGGAGGCGACATCCTCCAATCCCGCCCAGCCTGCAATTTTGGAGTCCCTCCCTGCCTCGGCCACCATGGGACCAGCTGGGGGTGTTTAGTTCTGGGTAGACTCCTTCCTTCATCCCTCTTTATCGTTTTCCCCGTCCTATGTAGTTTATTCAAAACATTTTTATGCCACCTTCACACCCAAATAGGGTTTCCCCGAGGCAGCAGACATCAAACAGTAAAACACCTCAGCTTAAAAACCCTTAAAGTATATATGCAACAATTCAATAAACAGAATTAAATGAAGGCTTATAAATGCATGTACAGGAGGCCAGTTACAGTTATGGCGGGTACATCAAACCAAACCAACAAACAAAAACCCCTCTTCATCAACGGGCAGAAGACAACAGTAAGAATCTAAGAAATGCACTGCAAGAGCAGCCCAATGGTCCATCCAGTCCAGCATCCTGTCTTGCACACAGGGGCCAGCCAGTTCCTCTGGAGGGCCAACGACAAGGCAGAGAGGCCGAGGCCTTCCCTTGAGAAGAAAATTAGAAGAGCCCTGCAGGATCAGACCAGTGGTCCATCTAGTCCAGCCTCCTGCCTCACAGAGGAGCCAACCAGTTCCTCTGGAGGGGCAGCAACTGGGTACAGAGGCCGAGGCCTTCCCCTGATAAGAAAACCAGAAGAGCCCTGATGGGTCAGACCAGTGAGGGTCCATCTAGTCCAGCATCCCATCTCTCACGGAGGCCAACCAGTTCCTCTGGAGGGCCAACCACAGGGCAGAGAGGCCGAGACCTTCCCCTAATAAGAACATCAGAAGAGCCCTGCGGGAATAGATGGATTGCTGCTCTGGGCTCTTGTTATGACTCATGAGTAGGGCATGGTAGAGACTGGCTTATGCTCATTCGGCCCTGGCAGCTGACTGCGAGACAGTGCAATACAGGTCTGATCCAGGAGCGCTCTTCTCAGGGGAAGACCTCAGCCTCTGTGCCCTGTTTTTGGCCCTCCAGAGGAACTGGTTGGCCTCTGTGTGATATGAGATGCTAGACTAGATGGACCCCCACTGGTCTGACCCAGCAGGGCTCTTCTGATGTTCTGATCAGGGGAAGGCCTCAGCCTCTCTGCCCTGTTGTTGGCCCTCCAGAGGAACTGGTTGGCCTCCGTGAGAGACGGGATGCTGGACTAGATGGACCCCCACTGGTCTGACCCAGCAGGGCTCTTCTGATGTTCTGATCAGGGGAAGGCCTCGGCCTCTCTGCCCTGTTGTTGGCCCTCCAGAGGAACTGGTTGGCCCCTGTGTGAGACAGGATGCTGGACTAGATGAATCACTGGTCTGGTCCAGCAGGACTTGTCTTATGACTCACAAGCAGGGCATGGAAGAGACTGGCTTGCCCTCACTTGGCCCTGACTGCAAGACAGTGCGCCCTGGGGCAGAGCATGCTGTGCCACAGTTGTTGCTACCACTTCTTCCCCCGCCCACCCCCAGCATTAAACACACCTGCCCTGGCAGTACAACCTGTGCCTTCCCAAAGCCTTCTATCTACATAACAAACAACTTGCTCCTTTACAGCCCATAGCCCAAAGAAGAATGTTGCAATGGTGTCCTGGTTAAGACCAGCAGACTCTAATCTGGAGAGCCGGGTTTGATTCCCCGCTCCTCCTCCACATGAAGTCTGCTGGGTGACCTTGGGCCGGTCACAGTTCTCTCTCTCAGAACTCTCTCAGCCCCACCTGCCTCGCAAGGTGCCTGTTGTGGGGAGAGGAAGGGAAGCCGATTTTAAGCCACTTTGAGACCCATTGAGGTTGAGAAAAGCTGGCTATAAAAACCGACTCTTCTTCTCCTTCTCAAGTGAAATCTGAAAGAAGCAGAGTTTATTTATTTATTTATTTTCATTGCATTTATACCCCGCCTTTCCCACGAACGGGCTCAGGGCAGCTGAAGAAGAATGAAGCAGCATTGAGCCAAAGTAAGTATCAACAAGCAGGAATTCAACAGGGAATGCGGTGTCTCCCTCCAGTAGATAAATAAATCAACACGGAAAAATTCAGCCAACCAACTAACCCTCTCCGGACATATACAGCTTTACATGTGAAGCAAGAAAGACGCTTATGACTCTAACTGGCGGGGGAACCGGCCAGGGTAGCAGGGAGAAAAATGGTGGCGCGGTGAAGGTGGAAAAACCAGGGTAGAAGGGAGGGAAATAGGAGTGTAACACAGGTGGAGATACGCGAGAAAAGAGCAGCGACCGTGAGACAGACATCAGAGCAAGGGTGCCGTGCTTCACGGAGATCCAGGTCTGTGAGAAAGGCTTGAGAGTATATTAAGGGTAGGAAGCATTGAAAAGGGTTACAGCAGAGGCCAGAATGCCAATCCCAGTGTGGTGGAAGCGGACAGGGACGCCTCCATGACAGGCGGGTCAAGCTTCAGGAAGCCATTTGGGGGAAAGAAAGAAGAGAGAGGAGAGGTTGGATTTATACCCCGCCCTTCACTAACCGAAAGAGTCTCAGAGCGGCTTACAAACTCCTTTCCCTTCCCCTCCCCACAACAGACACCCTGTGAGGTAGGTGGGGCTGAGAGAGCTCTGACAGAGACAGAAACTGCCCGTTTTCAAGAACAGCACTGACAGAACTATGGCTAGCCCAAGGTCATCCAGCAGGTGCAAGTGGAGGAGTGGGGAAAGGCACAACCTGGGATGAAAGCGAGATCTGGAAAACGTCACGAGGGGGTACCAGAAGCAGGGTAGATGGAAGGCGATGGAAATTATGTAGGGAAGAGGCGGCAGATGGGGGCAGATGGGTGGGGAAAGGTTAAGAGAACGGCACTTTGGGTCCAAAGGAAGGGACAGAGGGATATCCATGATGAGTTGCGGAACTGGATTATGTACACCCAGAATTTATACGCTCTGTAGGAAGGGAGGAAGATCAGACTGAAGATAGCGAGTGGAAAACAGGAGTGTTATCTTCAGTAGAATCTGGGATGGGGAAAACCACCAGGATAATATCTGGGGCGGAAACAGGAAGTCTACAGGGCAGGAGTGACAAAATCTGGAGCGAAAGGGGGGGGGGGACAGGAGAGTATTCTCAGATGTGGGGCAAGGGGGGGGGGAAACCAAATAACCAGTGTTCCCTCTAAGCTGAGTCAGTGTGAGCAAGCTCAGTTTTTTAGCTTCCAGCTCACACATTTTTGTCTCAGCTCGGGAAGGAGGGTTCCAGAGCAAACTCATTTAGGTAGCAGCTGAATCGCTCGCTCACAACTTTAATGGCAGGAGCTCACAAAGTAAAAGTTTTGCTCACAAGAATCCACAGCTTAGAGCAGGGGTGTCAAACATGCGGCCCGGGGGCCGGATCAGGCTCCCGGAGGGCTTCCATCAGGCCCGCAGTGGAACTGGCCATCTCCTGCTTCCAGTTCTGCTGCTGCATCATAGCTTGCTTCGCCAGACTCTCTCAGTCGCTCAGCCATTTCATGTTCTAACCTGGGTCCTAGACTCAGAACTCTGAGCATGCGATTTCTGTGGTAAATGTTGATAAATCAAAAGTAGGTTTGCAGCTTACAGAGCTAATGTTTTAAGCATGTTTTTTATTTTAAGTTTAAAAAATCTTTGTGCTTGTCTGCGTCCTTTATAAAGTTTATATCTTCGCTACCTGGCATTACATTTTATGACACACATGGCCCAGCCCAACAAAGTCTGAGTTATGTCAGATCACCAAAGTGCCGGCCCTCATAACAAATGAGTTCGACAGCCCAGGCTTAGAGGGAGCATTGCTGATAACCCTTTTTCACATTCCCCTGAGAACTGCCTGTAGCAGGATCAGGGACCTCTCCAGACAGATGCAGGCTACGTACACACAGCTTAAAGGGCCCACAGGAAAGGACATCAGATCCAGGGCTGAGAGGGGAAGAGAACTAGAGTGGAAATGGGGGCGCATCGGAGATAGGTCAACGGAATGCGGAGCAACCAGGCAGAGGTTACCAGAAAGATGCAGCCCTGAATATACACTCTCATGCATCAGAAACAGGGGCAGCGAGAGGAGGAAAAGACAACTGAAGCAATATCTGGAGCAGGGATATATCCAGCACAGGACACAGAACAGACATGCACATGCAATGTAGACTCTACATCTGGGGTGTCAAACATGCGGCCCAGGGGCCGGATCAGGCCCTCGGAGGGCTGCAATCCGGCCCACAAGGCCCTGGCTGTTTCCTGCTCCCTTTTCCAGTTCTGCTGCTGCTACATCACAGCTTACTTTACCAGCCTCTCAGTTGCACAGGAGAGACAGATAGGCAAGCCTCTCCTGTACAAGGTTTGCAGCTTACAGGTACACACCTGAAAAGCATACTCACGATTGCGACAGCACAGACAGTTGGATGCAACAATTCAGAGCAAGAGGTGTCAGTTATCAGACACTGTTAAATAGACAAAATATCGCAAGAGTGCTAGTGTTTTAAGCAGGTTTTATTTAAAGTTTTTTTAAAAAAAATTTAATTGTGTTTGTCTGTGTCCTTTATAAAGTTTACATCTCCAATAGCTGGCATTACATTTCATGACACGCATGCCCCGCCCCCAAAAGGTCTCATTTATGTCAGATCCGGCCCTCATTACAAATGAGTTTGACACCCCTGCTCTACATATTCATGAATCTTTCTGCATACACACACACATATTTATATATGCAACCACCTGCATATTAATGACCTTGCAGAGAACAGCACAGCATCCAGGGCAGGGGGGGGAAGAAGAAGGGTGGGAAACGGGGGTTAATTTTGGGGAGGGGGCAGTGGGGCATTGCCAGGGGATGAGTGTGTGTGTGCATGTGTGAGGCTCTCATATATCCATATATACTGTATTCACACGTGCACGCATATAACTGTCTATCCAGAGAGATACACAAAGCTTTACCTTTGGCCGTTTTCAACAAATCACTACTACCGACGTATATAATAAGGGCTGAAATCACACACAGGCCCGCACATCTACAGGTAGATAGTTTAAAAGGGTAGCCACACTGGCCTGCCGTGGAACAGCTCGAACCAAGTCCAGCGGCACCTTAGAGACCGACAAGAAGTTTCAAGGTATGAGCTTTTGAGTCAAAGTTAAAGAAATGGAAAACCTTGTTTGCCTCTAAGATGCTTTAATAGAGGAAGAAGGAAGAAGAGTTGGATTTATACCCTGCCCTTCGTTCGAGTGGCTCACAATCTCCTTTCCCTTCCCCTCCCCACAACAGACACCCTGTGAGGTAGGTGGGGCTGAGAGAGCTCTTTTGAGGACTGCTCTTGAGGGAACAGCTCTGACAGAACTTGTGACTGACCTAAGGCCACCCAGCTGGCTGCATGTGCAGGAGTGGGAATCAAACCTGCTTCTCCAGATCAGAGTCCGCTGCTCTGAACCACTACAGCACATGTACATACATCTATGTATACACACATCTATATATACATACATATGCAGCATAATTCAAACGAGACGAGGCCATTTCTGTCTTCTTCTATATTAGTTGGAATTTGCTTGGCTATCTGTCCCATAAGCCTCTGCTCTTTTGCTGGCAGCCTAGGCGTAAAAACTAAAGCCTTGCCCTGCAGATGTACCTTAGCCCGAATTCATATTTGACATTCCCCGTGCCAGGCGCCAAAGCTTAAACATACATACATTAGTTGTACCATATCTGCCTAGGTCTTTTTGACATTGTGGCTAATAAAATACATCTGGGCAAAAGTTCACACTAGCAATTTAAGATGGGCTGGTGCTTGTCAAGTTTGGTACATTCTCGACTGACACCTCCACACACACACAGACTACCTCTGAATGTCTCTTGCCTTGAAAACCCCACGGGGTTGCCATAATGAAGGCACATTCTACTACCACATACATTTATAAGCGCACGCACACACACACACGTGTGTGTGTGTATATATATATATATATATATATA